TGGATGCCGATTGCCATGAGACATATTTATTTTGTTTACTCTGTTACCAGAGGAGGTGTTTTTCTTCTCCCTTTTCTGGCTGTTATGCACTAATAATGTATCATCCTGTTATTAAGGTGGTCTGCGGAGTTTGGGACATCAAGAAACGGATCTCCTGATCTGCATGTTATGTTGGGTGAATACATTTATTCCGAATCTCCAGAAACGGTACTGTCCATGATTCTGTGTCTTACTGTGAATATCTTCTGCTCTCTACATTCTTGAATCGCAACATTTGAGGAATTTGCATGTCAACCAAGTCATGCCTAGGAAAGATCGTATTAATCCTCTTCACTAGGCCATTTATTTGCTCTTAGATGATGTATGTTCCTCTAGTCCTAGATGGTGCAAGGCTATCTCCAAATTGTAGGATGGCATGCATGCAGTAAATTATATCTACTCCCTCCGTTCCTAAATATAAGTCTTTTTAGACATTTCAAATAGACTACAACATACGGATGTATGTAGACATATTTTAGAGTGTACATTCACTCATTTTGCTCCGTATGTAGTCACTTGTTGAAATATCTAAAAAGACTTATATTTAGGAACGGAGGGAGTAGAAGGCAAGTGAAAGAGCATTGTAGAGCTATGATTTTTATTTGTCATTGATGCTGTTACTATTTTTACTACTTCGGTAATTATGCTTACAGTTTAACCTGGAGCGACCTTGACTGCAGGACATGACTAAAGTATCAAGTCATTTTGTGCGCGGTAACGATCCTAAAAAATTTGCTTCTATGCTGGTAAACTTTATGGGCAAGGTAATTGTTGTTCTAAACAGTAGGTATTACAAATGATGCTTGGTAATTAGTGAATTCTGTTTGAATGATATATATTTGTTTCTTTGAGAGATAGCAAAAGTTTATACCCTACCAAAATATTTCCAACGTCTTTCACAAACATAGTAATTTTATTACTTCTTCTGTACAATAAGGTCACTTTCAAGCTATCGCCTGAGTTTTTTATCCATGACATTCTCCAAAACCGTTTAACTTGAATCCTCTTTTTCCAACACCATGAATATATCCCCTGGTTCGTTTTACATGTTCTTTTGACTGTTGAAATAGTTCATTTCATTGCTGTTCACATGGATGCCATGTGTGTGGGGACCCATCTGTCGGTCTCCAAGGTCATCCCCCCTCTGTTTAGATTGCTGGGAAGGAGAAATACAAGTGAATCTGTTAGAGAGATGTTGTAACCGCACAACTTTTTTAGGGCCAGTTCTGTTGCTGGCTTCTAGAATAAGCTGGTATAAGCTGCCCCCTAACCAGCTTATTCTAGAAGCCCAACCAAATTTATTTTTTTAGAAGCCTATTAATTAAGACTTGACTAAAGGCTTCTAAAAATATATTTTTGGTTGGCCTTCTAGAATAAGTTGGGTAGGGGGCAGCTTATTCTAGAAGCCCAAAAAAGGCACCAAAAGAACTGGCCCTTAATGTTTTACCTGCTTGCTGGTTTCCATGCTGGCGTCCATCTAAGCGTGAAACGGAGGTTAAAGCAACCAAACCAACAAATGGGATTTACATGACATAGAAGGATATAGGATCCAAATTAAACAGTTTTGGAGAATCGGTTTGAAAATCAGACTGAGGATTGAAAAACTGATGGTTTCCTTAATGCTGCTTAGTATAGTTAGCAATTGCTCGATATGATTAGTAAATCCATGTTCTCCACAACAATTTGCTTTGTACAGTGGCTTTACTAATGTATGGGTTGTAGGTCATCTTTCGTCAAAATATGAAAATATGGAAACAGAACACAAGCACAAGCTTGTTAAATCACTGTCTTATACCCCAATTTGTTTGTGGGTTGGATCCGTGTTCATTATTCATGCCCAACTTTTGTTAGGTGTTAAGTGGATTCATATATGCTCTTGACATTGTGTGATATAGAATCATTGTGTGATATAGAATCATATTGATCTTTTTTCTTCCTTTCTGTACAGTGCTACCCTGGTGAAGATGATACTGCAATTGCACGCAGTGTCCTAATGTAAGATTTTATTCCTTTCTTTCTTGTTTGCTCTGGAGATGTTATGTGCTAAGGACTAATGTAGGGTAGGATAGTTGGGATAGAGGAGAAGCAATTGGTAGATGGAACAAGAGGAAGGGTGAATCGGTTGAGATAGCGGTTGGTAGATGGAGATGTGTGAGAGAGGTTTAGTTTAATGTTTGCTTGTAATTGAAAAACGGGATGCAGCAGCCCATTATATAGATGGGTCTCGCCCAAGCAATTTGTAACGTCCCTTCCAAAAAAGTGTCAACGAATCTATAGTTCAATACAAATACCAAGCTAGTAATATCTTCAGTTTGCCTACAAGATAATCTTTCTCTTTACCATGACCCAAAGTCATGACATGAGAGATCATCCCCTGTAAGTTGTATGAGAGGAAAGTCTGATACCATTGAAAAGGGGTGCACTTCGCACTGTAGAAACCGATGTGAAGGAATTGTGTAGTGTTTGTTTCATTTACAACGATAGATACACGTCAGTTAGCAGTGTGCTAGGGACGCGTGCAATATGATATACTGCCTCAACACAATATCCTCTATGTGATCACACTGAAATGCATACAGAAGAACACTTTAACACTGTAAAGTAAATGTCGTCTCATTGTTGGGATAGAATTTTACTGGGATTTTGGGGATGGAGATGTCGGGTTTTCTAATATGTTGTTCTTTCTTAAAGGTATCTATCACTAGGGAATCTCAGAGACGCAAATTTACTTATGGATGGGATGAAGGAGCAGCTAAAATCTGCTGACATGGAACTTCCAAAAACAGCTTTAATTGAGTTTATCAAGTATCTTCTTCAAACGTGAGTCTCTCATATTTTTCTGGCTTGCATTGTATTTCGGGTGTCCTTTCCACGTCTGCATATTTGTTCCACGATGTTCTCATACACCGCATGCAAATTTTGTGAAATAACGCTGCAGTTTGCATGATAGTTCTCAGACGTCAGCTACACGTGTTTTTATAGTTCTATCACTAGAAAGATAAAATTACTTTCTGTAGGTATTACGAATGCTCCTGTCTTACCAATATATTCAAATGCCCATGTCAGAAATGACTGATATCATATTTTAACAGTTTCTCACGTTCTTGATTTGTAACCATATGTAAATCAAGATCAACTTTCTTTTCCTATCTTATACATGAAATAACAAGCTATTTTATCATTCTTTTCTTTTGTTATGGCCTTATGGGCATTACTAACTAGATGTTGTTTACAGGCTTGAAAGAGATGCTTACCCTCTTTTTAGGACACTTCGACAAAAGTACAGCGCAAGTACAGATCGAGACTCTGTATTTGAGGAGGTATGGCCCTCTATCGAAATTTTGTAGCTCTATAACAAGAGTTCTGTTTTTCAAAAATAAATAAATATATTGTTACGAAACAATGTGAATCCATGAAAGATGTTTTTAGATAATTTGGAAATCGCTGTGAGACATGTTCAACATAACATATCTCCACAAACTTTTGGCCTTGTTTACCAGCTTTCCATCTGGAAACCGATGAATTGCTCACAAAGGACCACTTGTTAATAAAAATGGGTGAAAAACCCCATGTCGTGTTGTTGCTTAATGTTGGAGACCACCTGTTCTTACAAAAATAAGGAATGCAAACCGATGAATTGCTCACAAAGGACCACTTGTTAATAAAAAAGGGTGAAAAAACCCATGTCGTGTTGTTGCTTAATGTTGGAGACCACCTGTTCTTACAAAAATAAGGAATGCAAACCGAAATAGACCTCATGACGGTATGGTTACGCTTTGCAGTTATTGGATGAAATAGCTGCAAAATTTTATGGCGTACGGCAACAGAATCCTCTGGAAGGACTTTTCGGTGAAATGTTCAAGGTAAACACTTTCTTCTATTGACTTCATGGTGGTCGCTATATCGAATTGCTTCCTTTTAAAGTCTGCCAAATTAGCTGGTTTTTGCTCTAACCAGTTCCATGTGCTATTTTATTTATATTGATAATATCTTCCTCATTACTGCTCACATTCTATATTTGTGCAGGTGTAATTGACTTGAAACGAACTTTATCATCATGTCCTTGCCTTCAATGCAATGATTGGTTTTCAGCTAAAAAAAGGCATCCATTGGCCAAAATAATACATTTGTGGGAGATCAAGTGGGTCACCCAGGAAAAACGCACAGGAAGTGCTTTGTTGGAGCTTCCTCAGTCATAGTCAACGGAGTTAGTATATTTAACATCAAACTACATGAAGATGGGCCGCTGATCTGTTGTAAAATCGTTCTATTGGTTTTGATGTTTTTCTTTTCTTCTCCTAAAGGTTTTGATGTTTTCCAGCAGTGTAACAGAATTTCCCTTCGCAGATTATTGTAAGATGATACGGCATTTTGTTATCCTTTTTTCCCCATTCTGTGCTAAATTTGTTTTGACGGTTTAAGCAAAGATATCAGGTGCTATAATTCCACTTTTCGGGAACCATGGCAGTCCTGCATTAAACCGGTTTATTTTCTTTCAATCAGTTGGGTTTTGCAAATTTGAGGTATACAATTCAGAAAAAAAGGAGAACATTGAGAATTTTAAAAATTGAGCATAATGAATGACTGTACATTAGAGCATCTCCATTAGATGATGTAGATGTAAAAATATTAGAATTTTACATTTCCAAGGCATAAAAATGCTGCTTAAACAGATGATGTAGATGCAATTTTTTACTCAAAATTACAAATTTGCATCACTTGGGACGCTTGAGCAAAATGCGCTCAGCCCTCACTGTCGTGCGCAACCAGCAACCTTTGTGCCGCGCGCCTGCCGCCGCCAAACCGCACCAACTCTGCCACCACCAAACCTTTATGGTGACGTAAAGTCAAACAAGTTTGATTTTTTATCGGATCATAAAAACCTACTTTTTGAAAGAAAGAACTCGTCTTTTCTATTTTTTGATTAACTTTCTCGAGGGTCAAGGTCAGTCAGTGAGACGATGGGGGATAAGCTTCATCGCCGAGAGGGAAACAACCCGGATCACCGGCGAAGATTTTTTGATGATGTAAATTTTACATCATTTGTTGGAGTTGGAGGTTTTTGGTAATGTAAAATCTACTCCCTCCATTTATAAATATTTGTCTTTCTAGAGATTTCAACAAATGACTACATACGGAGCAAAATGAGTGTTCTAAAATATGTCTATATATACATCCGTATGGGGTAGTCCATTTGAAATATCTGAAAAGACAAATATTTTAAAACGGAGGGAGTATTTTTTAGTGATGTAAATTTTAGTCAAATTATAATTTTGTGATGTAGTATTTTACATCATCTGTTGAATTTGCTCTTAGCAATTTTTCCCACTAAGTACATTACAGTCCGTCGATCCAAGAGGAGAAAATCGGCTCCCGCCATAAAAAAACACACCAAGAGTGAGGACGTCCCTAGGGTTCCTAGCCGCCGCCGGCCCGCCGCCACTACTGCCGGCCCTCCGCTGCGGCGGCCGAAGCCTCCGCTGCCCCGCCTCCGGTACAGGAGCACAGCAGCGCCTCCCTCCCTGGAGCAGCCGCTCCCGCCCGGCAACGCCGCCGCCCGGAGCTACCGGCGACCAGTATAGGCAGGTAGCCACCGCTCCTTCCTCCTTCTTCCCTCATCCTCCCTCCCTCCCTCCCTCCTTCCTCTTGCATCCTCTATTTGTTCAATTTTCTCCCTGATTTCTGTATTGGATGAGTACTTGCTGTAGATGGCATATTGTGAGAATATAATGATGATTATTTCTTAAGGAGTACTTGCTGCATGGTTTTGGCAGTGCATGCTCAAGTTTACATGTGAAAGGATTTTAGTTGATAGGTGTTTTTGATAATGCTTGTAGGAGCAAATGTTTACAGATTGTAGTTTGATTTTTTTTTTCAGATGAGCAAATGTTTTGGTTTAAACATGGTAGCAGCCTATCCGCATCAGTGCATTTTAGGCTTTAATTTGCTTTTTTGGTTGATGGCAGACAAACGCTACATTTCCTAGATGAAGCACATATTCAAGATCATCACGGTGCTGGCGGCGATCTCGGCCGTCTGGGCTGCGCTCCTTGAAACCTCGACAGTTCCTCACAGTTACACCTGGCTGGTGAGTGCCACGAATTCTTTCACTTGCTGATTTATTGAAGTTAAGACACTGTCTTTCGATTAAGACTCTTGCTTGTGACTTTTGTTGTTGTAGCTTCCCATCTATTTGGTAGTGGCGCTTGGATGCTACGGCCTTTTTATGGTTGGGTACGGGCTGATGTTCTTTCCCACCTGTCCTCAAGAAGCCATACTACTACAACAGGTAGAGGATGTAGTCCTAGTAGCATAATTCTCAGTTTTTTTTGTCTATGCAGTCTCATTGCCATGTTGAGAACTAATAATCGCTAGAATATACATCCTAGGTATTTTCAGCTTAATATACACTTGTGCATTGTATATTATACATTCTTTTCTTTTGGTTTTCTGCTGGCATAATGAGATTCAAGGTATTATGCAGAAGGAACCATAAGTTTCTTTGTGCCTTATGTGTATGATTGTATGGCTTTTCATAATGGCCACCACAAAGAAAACCAAGCCACCTAATTTTTAAACTTTTAAGTTTTCTGTATAATTACAGTTTTGCTTTGTTCCCGTCTGTAATTATTTGTGCTTGGCCTACTATGCAGGATATTATGGAGGCTAAGGAATTCTTATCCAAAAGGGGTGTTGATGTGGGCTCTGACTGAGGTCGATTCCAATGTTTAATATTTTGTGGCCAGTTTGAAGCTTCCTGGATACCATAGCTAGAAAAGGTTATATGACATTTCACTATGTTTAGATACTGTTACTAACACAGTTTTGGTGAGTGGCGTGTTACAATTCTACATTTGAGGTGGATGGCTTGTCACAACACTACTTGTGTCCGAAAACATTATGAGAACAACTAATGAATGGTTCGTTAACAAGTCCATTAGTGTTCATGACATGTTTGCGTTGTAACCATCTGGATTTCATCACTGGGTGTATATCAGTTTGTGCTCTGCAGTATCGCCTTTGGTGATGCTTTGAATTGCTAGTTCTTTTGATGGTTTAGTTCTAGTGTGTAAGTTTCTGCCCAGTGCAGATTTCTTTCATTTGGCAACTCTGGAACTTCTCAAATTCAGCAAAGTTCCGTCTCATTGGCACTTTGAGGTTTGAACTCCTCATGATTTAACAAAAGATCATTAAACCTTTACCGATACCATTATTGCTCCATGTTTACAAAACAGTTGTAGAATGGACTGTGCAGTGAACCTGTTTCAACTCGTAATGCTATTATTATATATACATGTTCAGTCACATGCCAATTTGAGAGCATACAGTCGCCTGCTACCTTGAGCTAGCAGCTTCCGGCAGGGACTTGTTTGAGTCTGGTCCATCATCTTCTCCGGCACTGGGAACTCCTGGAGCCCCTTGGGCCATTATATATGTGCATATATGTTATGTGTTCCGTATACCTGGCCCTTGGCGTCTGTTGCTTAAACATGTATGCTGCTCTGTTCTGTTCCTGGCTTGGCATGTCAAAAGTTTTTAAAAATTATAGTAGAGTTTGTGGTGTTGTTGAATTTTTGGGTCCTGTTGGCGCCTTCTATGTGAGGTTGAGGTTTACCTAATGCTAGTCATTCTCTGCAATTCTCCAAAAAAAACACTGTTTTTTTTTTCTTTCAGAAGTACCCGTTGCTGACATTTTGTGGACAGGTTTGAGAGCATTCATCGGACAATCTCGTGGTTAACAAACATGTTAGCAGTTTAAAAAAAGAAAATACTTGTTACCAAACTGGAGGGCCAATTGCATTGCTTCAGTGGATAATAGCGATTAACCCGCATTGTAGACATAATAAAACAGTTTATCATTTAAAGACATTTCGAAGTTTCATGGATGAACAAAACATGCTCCCTGTAGATAATCCAGTTCCTGCTAACCTAGTACAGTACTGAAGATAGTGCTTCTCATACCTTCTATTGTTTAACATTGACCTGATCATTATGAATATGTACCAAGTGCCTTGGCTCTTGGTTGCTGTGAGGTGTCCCCGTTCATTGTGATGAAATTACCATGGAGGCAGCACAAGTGGCAGCATCATTACCATCGATTGAAAGTGTGCTTTTGATCTCTGTCAGTAGGTGCTAGTTTACATTTTCTTATTCGAGTTGTTCATATCATCATCATCCGCATCAAAAATTGACTTTATTTAGCTTGTGACCTGTCGTCAAGCCTTTTTAGCCATCATTCCTTGGCTTCACTCTGACCCTCTTACCCCTGACTGAGGGCAACTAGTCTTAAACTATTGGAAGCAAACCACAAGGATACCTGCGAATCGACCTGTGGTTGAGTTGGTTAGGTGGACAGTGGTATCCCCAACCCACCAGGGTTTAAATCTTGGTACTTGCATTATTCCTGTATTTATTTCAGGATTTCCGGCGATGCGCTTTTAGTGGGAGGAGACGTTCCCGTCGTCGACGAGGCGCCTATGGTGACTTCGTAAATCTCAAGATAATATGCCGGCTCAGTCTCTCGGAGGTGCTCATAGGGATAGAGGCGTCATGTTGCTGTTGCAGGGACAATGTGAGGAGCGGTAACAACGAGCGTCGACCCAGCGAGGCCAAGCCAAGACCTCGTCGGAGACGGAGATGGCACTGCAAGCGACAGCGAGCTGCGGCGTCCTAGTCAGGCTACAACAAAACACTGCTTCCTATTACCCGGGAGTGGGGCGTGTCACCCATCTGACATCTGTCATTGTCACTTCATTAAGCACATTATCAACCACAAGGATCAAAATGACACAGAAATGTGTAGCAACCGATTAAAATTTGTCTTGCAAAGGTTTGGGTTTTTCTTCAGAATTCAGGGGACAAAACATGACGCAACAGGTGTCTATATGCAACAGCAACACACTGCTTTATTATTAGTCCAACACAAGGCAAAACGCTACGTACGTACAACAATTGTATACACCATACTGCAACACATACAAGCAGCAATTACAACACAAAAAACCATGGAGGCCTCGTCGCTACGCGTCGTGGCCATGCCCATTGCACGCGCCTGCCGCCGGTAATGGAGGCTGCGACGACGGCGCGTCGATCTCTCTGAGCACGGCGACCACGTGCAGCATGTTGGGCCTCTTCGACGGGAAGTCGTCCACGCACTGCAGCGCCATCTCCAGGAACCTCATCATCTCCGTCTCGTCGTCGCCGGCCGCGGCCGCGACGAGCTCCGGGTCCACGACCTCCTTGCCGGCGCCCTCCCTGACCTTCATCTTGACCCAGCCGACGAGGTTGGTGTCCCCGAAGTCCTCCTTGTCGGTGGGCCGCCGCCCGGTGAGCAGCTCCAGCAGCACCACGCCGAGGGAGTAGACGTCGCCCTTGGCGGTGCACCGGAAGCTCTGGTAGTACTCCGGCGGCACGTACCCGGGGGTCCCAGCGAGGGTGCTGACGCTGAGGTGCGTGTCGAGCGCGCTGATGAGCCTGGCCATGCCGAAGTCGGCGACGCGGGCCTCCATCATGCCGTCGAGGAGCACGTTGCTGGACTTCATGTCGCGGTGGATGATGTGCGGGATGCAGTTGTGGTGCAGGAAGCAGAGCCCCTTGGCCGCCCCGCGCGCCACCGTCTTCCTCTTCTCCCACGTCAGCGCCGGCGCGCCGTCGGCCGGGAGGTGGAGCATGTCCTCCAGGCTGCCGTGGGTCATGTACTCGTAGACGAGGAGCCGCTCCTCGCCGATCTTGCAGTAGCCGAGCAGGGGCACGAGGTTCCGGTGCTTGATCTTGCCCAGCGTCTCCATCTCCGCCATGAACTCGCGGTCGCCCTGGTGGCTCAGCGGGATCAGCTTCTTGATGGCGACCGTGGAGCCGTCCTTGAGCGTCGCCTTGAACACCTCGCCGAACCCGCCGGAGCCGATCAGGCTGGCCGCCGAGAAGCCGTTGGTGGCCTCGATCAGCTGCGTGAAGGTGAGCTTCCGGAGCTGCCGCTGGAAGGTGGCCACGTTGATGCTCAGCGCCTCCTTCTCCGCCTTGCCCAGCTTCCACGTCGTCGCCGTCCGCGTCCCGTCCTGCAGGCTGCTCAGCATCCGCGCCTCCCGCACCTCCCGCCGCCGCACGCGCACCGCCACCGCCCAGATCGACACTGCGCACGCCAGCCCGGCGGTGACCATCACGGCCAGGAGCACGGCGTTCGCCCACGCCGCCCTCGGCAGAGGCCACCTGGCGTTTGTACTTTCAGCTGCAGCGCCGGAGGAGGCCGCGACGCTCGCCCTCGGCAGCCGGTCGCTGCACGGCACCAGCGGCATGCCGCAGAGGCCAGGGTTGTCGGCGTACTGGCTCGCCGGCAGCGTGCTGAGCTGCCCGCGCTGCGGGATCTCGCCTGCGAGGTCGTTGTCGGAGACGTCGATCTGCACGAGGAAGGAGAGGTTGGAGAAGGAGTCCGGGATGCTGCCCTGCAGCCGGTTGTGCGACACGTCGAACACGCCGAGGTCGTGGAGGCGGCCGAGCGACGCCGGGATCTCGCCGCTGAGGTTGTTCCTCGCCAGGTCGAGCACCTGGAGCAGCACCATGTCGCCCAGCTCCTCCGGGATGGCGCCGACGAGGCTGTTGTACGAGAGGTCCAGGTACTCCAGCGTCTGGTACCGCGTCCACCCGCTCACCGCCGCGCCGGAGTAGAGCCGCGTGAAGTCGCAGCTCCTGAGGGTGGGCACCTGCAGCAGCCGCTCCGGCCGGATGCCGGCGAACTCCAGCAGCCCACCCACGCCCTTGCACGCGTTCCCAGCGTTGCGGACGAACGCCAGCGTGTTGCCGGACAGGATGCCGCTCAGCGGCGTCGCCCCGAGCTGCCGGCCGAGGCGGTGCGGGATCACGCCGGTGAGCCTGTTGCTGTTGAGGTCCAGCCACATCAGGCTGCTGCAGTTGCCGAGCTCCTTGGGGATGTCGCCCACGAGGCTATTGTTCGCCAGCTGCAGCACGGCGAGCCGGGACAGCCGGCCGAACTCCGGCCTGATCGTGCCGCTGATCCGGTTGCTCGTGAGCGAGATCCACTCGAGGCCGGTGCAGTTGAAGAGCTCGACGGGGATGTCGCCGCCGATGAAGTTGTTGTTGAGGATGAGCGTGCGGAGGCTCCGGCATTGCCCGAGCTCCGCGGGGATCTGGCCTTCTAGCTGGTTGAGCCACGTCACGAGCTGCTCCAGGGCACGGAGCATGCCGAGCTCCGGCGGGATGGCGCCGCGCAGGTAGTTGATGCTGAAGTCGATCACCCGCAGGCGCGAGCAGTTGGCCAGCCCGGGAGGGATCGCGCCGGTGAGGAGGTTGTCCGGCATCCGGAGCTCCTCCAGCGACGCGCCGGGCGTGCAGAGCTCGGCGGGCAGCGCGCCGGCGATCTTGTTGCTGCTGAAGTCGGCGACCCTGAGGCTGTTGCAGGCAGAGATGGTGCTCGGGAGCGATCCCGAGATGAAGTTGTTGCTGAGAAGCAGGATCTCCAACTTGGTGAGGTTCCCGAGCACCGCGGCCGGGATCGCGCCGGAGATGTTGTTGTTGGCCGCGTCGAGCAGCTGGAGCGCGCGGCACGACGACAGGGACTCCGGGATAGAGCCGGAGATGTTGTTGCTCGAGACTCTGAGGATCCGCAGCGACGAGCACGCGGCGAGGCTGCGTGGGATGGCGCCGGTGAGGCGGTTCCCCGAAACGTCGAGCACCTCGAGGCCAGCGACGTCGCCGATCG